GCCCCGGAACCCCGCGCCCACCCGCGGCTCCGCCCGTGCGCGCTCCCCGCGGCTGGGGTCGAGCTGTGCGCTGAGAGCCCGAGGCCACCCAGGTGCGGGCCCGAAAGAGGAGGGTTCGGGCCCAGCCCGAGCAAACACCTGAGGCAGGGGAGACTGGCCGTGAGGGCTGCGAGGTGCCCGGAGGCGGGGGCTTCGGAGCGAGGGGCCCACGCGGCGAGGAGCCGCCCAAGCCCGCCCTCCCCCGCGAAGAGGCGGGCTGGCGACCCTGCGCCATCTAGGAGAGGCTCTGGCCGGGGGCGGGCGCAAGGTTCCTTTTCCTAATCTTTACAGGGCTGGCTCATCCCGGGTTCAGCTGCGGCCCATCCTGTTTGTGCGCCTTTCCTGCAGAGAGTAATTACACGTTGGTGGTGTATGCGTGTGTGCGGTTTTTTTTTTTTTTAATAGGGCAGTAGTAATGATGGAAATCCTGTCCGCCTCCTTCCCAGGAGAGGTGTGTCTTGTTTCACAAAGAGCAGGAAAGATCGGTTCTGAAGACAGTCGTGGCGGAGAGGAGACGTAAGTCTCTTCCTCTACCGAGTGAGTGGTTCGCGATCCACCCAGCCCTGCAAGGCAAGGGCAGATGTTCACACGCACTGTCCCTGACACGAGTGCGCCCAAGAAAGCACCTCTTCTGGGACCACTCGGGGTCGTTGCTACGTCTGCCAGGGTGGGCAGCTTGCTGCTCCTTCTGCCCGAGGCTCCTGTAGTGTTTGTCCCCTACAAGAACCTTTCCTTCCATCCGCTCTGTTCTGCTGCAAAGCTTGCTCCCCGAGTGCCAGTCACAATCAATTTGTCTCCCAAAAAGCCTAAGCCATCCTAAGATACTTAATTACATTCTGTCTGGCAAGTCTGGTTCTCTTGGGAGCAGGTTCATCATCTTTCTAGTGTCCTCTCAAATTGGGTATTCTACAGGACTGAATGGACAAGGCACACTATAGAATGAAAACAAGAGTGGGGTGTTGGAGGAACACCTGTTTTAAAATTGCCAAAACTTCCTTAAACAGCAGAGATGCAGCACATCATCCTAATGATACCTTTGCTTCAGACAGGACTTGTAAAAAAGTCAGCTTACAAAACATCCCAGGAGCTCCTCTCTGCCTCAGTGCTGCTGTGGAGAGGTGAGGTTCACCATCTGGGTCAACTCTGTAGCTTTTCTCCTCCAATGAGCAGGGCTTTAGCTGAAAGACCACCAAAGGATTTGCTGCTGTTGGGTTTTCAAGAAGCCAGTGCCCAAATGGTGGTCAGCTACATAACTGCCCTGCTGTTGGAGTGGGAGAGACACCAGCCTTTCCAATGTTGGAGTGGGAGAGACACCAGCCTTTCCAACCTGGCCCCAACATTCTCACCTGGTGAGCAGTGCAGCTGTGGTATCTGCTCTCCTGGGGTTTACAGTCCCCCTGGGAGAACATGCAAATGGAAGTGACACATGTGGAGGGTGCAGTGAAAGAAAATGATGGGAAAGTGGAAGGTGGAGGGAATGGTGAGGGGAGGGGCCTCTGGAGAGGTCCACAGAGGTAGGAGTTGTTTCTTCAGGATTCTTTGAGTGGGGCAGTTGGGCCTACTTGGAGAATACAGAGCATTCTGTGTAGCCTAGGAGGTAAAGAAGGTTAAGGGAGCGTGAACAAGCTAGCGAGAGAGGGTGGGACAGGATCTAACACTAACTAGACTGGAAGGTCATGGCAAATTTTTGGACATTGCCTATAGGCAACAAAAAGCCTATGTATGGACATGAAAAAGGGTCATGTCAGTATAAAATTTGTGTTCTAAAATATCTCTCTGTGAAGAATGGATTGAAAGCGTAACCACAGGAGACCAGTTAGGAGACAGTTGTAAAGTCAAGGGGAGAGAAGACAGTGACTAAGAAAGACTTAGGTGATGGTAATGGAGATGAAGGTAAATAGATGGGTTTGAGAACTGTTTTTGGAGTAGAAGTGATGGTGATGGATTGAATGGAAAGAATGAGGAAGAGGAAAGTATCGTGGATGAGATGCAGGAATCTGGTTTGAACTATGTGCATTGGAGAACCATTAGAGACTGGGAAACATTCAACGAGGAACCGATTTGTAGAGGTAGTTGAAGTTTTTTTGTTTTTTTTCCCAAAATATGTGAAGCTTGATATGTCTTTCATATATTAAAGTGGAAATCTGAGGTGGGCAGTTGACTACATAGAGGTGTAGTCTGAGCTAAAGAGACAAGTTGAGGAGCTATTGGTAGACAAACAGCAAATAGTGGATGAGACTGCTGTTAAAGGAAAAGATAGGAATAGAGAGAGTAGGATGAAAAAGGAAGGGATCTAAGACAAAGCCCTCCAGCAACCCACATTTATAGGTGGAGAGAGGCAGGTAGGAGGCAAAAAAAAAAAGCAGCAGACAGGGAATTGAGAAAAACCAGGGGGATATCCAGATATTATAGAAACCCAACTCCCAACTTTTTAAGCAGGAAGGAACTGGCCATCTATGTCAAAGGATTCTGACATTGAGTAAACATGGACTTGAAAGACTGTGGAGTTGGCAATGGACAGATCCTTAACAATCTTTGATGACCTCAGTAGAGGTATGGGGGTGAAATTCTGTTTGGAGTAGGCTAAAGTGAAACTAAAGAAGTAGCGAGAATGAGGATAAACACTCTTCCAAGAGGTAAGACTGGAATGGAGAGGGAAATGACTGCTAACGTAAAAGGTAGAATTGCTAGATGAAGGACTTTTTAGTAAGCTGCATCATGCAAGAGAGGAGAAAGATGACACAGTTCTAAGAATGAAAGGGAGGCAGGTGGATGTCACTTTGGCACAGGTGAAGAAATGGACCTCACTTTTAAATGAAGCATTATGTTTGGGGCTTTCAGCCTACTATCCAAACTGCTATTCATTTACAGCGAGGTATTTTGAACCCTCAAAAGCCATATGTGAAATGCAGGTCATCCATCATATTAGTCAAGCTCCTTTCTCACTCTGGTGCTCCCTCTCTACCCCCATTACCTGCAGGTTTTGCTTTCCTTTCTGTTTTCTTTATTTTCTATTCCTGCAACTGGCTCCTCCAAATACCCAGGAGAAATGGGCACAGCAACCCTTACTTCCCAGACTTCTGGTTCAACAGCCCCAGAATGAGGATTTTTTTTTTTCTCCAGTGTTCCAAAATCAATCCATGAGAAGACTGATTATGTCCTGCCTGTAACAAATGTAATTAGGTAGCTTCGGGGGGAGCACTAGGCAAGTAATGGAGAGCATGAGTGCAAGGTCCCTGTTGGAAGGGACTACCTGTCAGTACACACCTATTTGAAAGCCTTTATTCAGAGCTGTTCCTGATGCTTAAGGAAGGCAGGGAGAGTAGAAGCCCTCTCTGTCTGTATTTCCCACCCTGCTCTATGGTGGCTTACACATAATGCAGTATAGCCACTTGCATATCTCTAGCGATTGCTTTAAAATCTGTTTTATAGTGCCTTTTATAGACTAGAAGTTTGTTTGCTTTTCTTATCATTATAACTCTTTCTTGGCTACAGACTTTGGAATTCTCTGTCTACTAGGGATTAATTGATTTGCTTGCTTGAGTTACTGCCATTTTTCTAATTTCTTAAGGAACATTTCACACAATACCCAATTCACTTTAAAACAGTCTAAGAATAACAAAAACAGGTTAAAAACCTCATGCCACTATAAAATGACACAGTCTTGAGAGAGAAATTTGACAACCTTCATCAAAAGCTTCAAAGTAAGAAATCAGTTCTTTGCCTAAAAGGTTCAGCCACAATAGAGTGGCTAATTGTAGAATAACTCAGTGGAGTATTATGCAGCTATTAAAGTGATATGACAAACATCATCACCACACCTATTAAATAACACTTAAAAGGTAGAGTAAAAATATAAATATATATGCTATGAAGTACATAAAATATATATACCAGTGAATAGAGATCAGAATGCAACATAAGCAAATAAAATAATCTGTTCTTAGGGTGTTGAATTTACAAATGGATAACAAATATATTTATCTAAAAGGGTTCTGATAATAAAATAATTCAAATAAAGCACTAAATACATTGGCAGGCACGTGGTACATTTTCATCTGTCACCTTGGCTGCTATATTATCAGCGATTGAGCATCCAAGAGTATTGTACCAAGGCACGTGATAAACATTTTATTTAATCCTTACAACAACCATTTAAGGTCAGTGTTATCATCTCTGGTTTATAAATATAAAAATAAGGGTTGGAATGGTTAGTGAATTGGATCACATGGTTAATATGTGAGATGATTAAAAAGAGTTTTTAGTCAAGCAAGAAACAACCTATTGTAGCATTTTCAAGTCAGGTATATTTATGCCAAACCATCTAAATGATGTTCAGATAAATTGTGAATTGTGTCAAACTATTAATTTTCCTTTTGTTGTTCTTTCACACACATTTCTCTTTTACTAAGTATGCAAAGTTTCCAAACACTTTTTTTAAATGTCCTAAGTAATTTTTTTATAAGCAATTCATAGTAAGATTGAAAATTACTCCTACATACTGAGCATGAGGAGGAAGACGGAGATTCTCAACGGGCAGAAGAGAGCAGTAAGCAGACATGAGCTACAGCTAAAGTGTTCCTTTTCCATTTTTAAATATGCAAATGTCCTTATAATGGTTTATGTACACAGTTACATGTAATATGGCAAAGGCAGGTCTCAGTGTCCTATTGTAGATGTCCCCAAAAGGATGGAAAAAGGTACACTATTCAGATAGGATAACATTTCTCAGAGTGGAAGAAAGACACTAGTCCCTGTTGAAAGGAACACCGTGTATTAAGCAGTATGACTGAACAAAAAGTCTAAACCCATCATTGGGAAGCTCCTGGATAGCAGGCTATGGGGAAGAT